TTTACTATATAATAGCGGAGATCATCATGTGATCACGTGAATTTCAGCATCATCCGATTTCAGCATCATCCGCGACATTTATTAATGTTTTCAAATCCGATAACTTCTCAATATGCATTGTAACATTTATTCAACCAAACAAAAACGCTATGCTGGTCTAAGAACATTTGTCCCCTTCTTATGTAAATACTGCGGTACTTCTCTAAATACAATCCTAGACTCAGCCCAAATGTATGCTTGACCCCTATTAATGTAGTTATTTAAAAGCGTATTGTCAAAAGTTTGTCCCTACAAACTGCATATAGGGAGGTCTGACAGCACTAACGCCATGATCGATATGACATTATTAAATATAAATTGAAAGAAAATTTTTTCATTACTTTATCCCTTAAATTTCTCGTAATTTTTTTGTACTGTAAGAACATCAAAAAAATTATATACAATGTCTTTCGTTCTCTCTTCACATTCCATGAACACCGTTGTAGACGTGAAAAAGACTTACCCTCGCCGAAAAAACCACATTGTCGATTGTCATATTTCAAGAAAACGTATGCATACTATATTGACCTTATTGATCATTGCTATTTATTCATTCTTTTAAATAATGGACATTTTTTAATATAATAGAATCCCGAATTTTCGTGTTGCGCATGTTAAATTGCCTGATGATCATTCACCACCAAAAGAACCTACTAAATTAAGTAAATATGAAGTATATCACATATGTCAAGACGTTTAGTTTATTGACAAGTTCATAATCATTATTTATTTTCATTATAAGAAATTTGTATAATTGGCGCAGGAGTGACAGGTATGCTGGCTTAAATTTTCATAAAAACCATTAATCTCGTGAATAATACAGTCAAACCTCTCTATAATCACACATTTGGGATACAAAAAAGTGTGACTGTAAAGAAGTGTGACAATTATAGAGGTCAAATATATTATATTTAATGATAGTTGATTTCTAAAAAATATGCTTATATAGAAAATGTGCTTATATAGGAGGTGAATATAGAGAGGTCTGACTGTACCTATTTCTCAATTTTTATCATAACTGACAATTAATAGGTTTATTTTCGGCGTTACTCTTACAAAAGGCTGGTTTTCAAAATATCCAAATTCTTGAATGTCAAAATCGTGTTGGTGGACGTGTGCATACTCATTATTTTAAAGGTGATAAAGAACAAAGATTATATGGTGAACATGGAGCTATGAGACTACCAAAGACTGAAGAGCATCAATTGGTGTTTGATACCATTGATTATTTGAATCAGCGTATTACTAATAATGACGACAAGATTGATCTTATTAAGTTTATCTTTGCTGATGAAAAGAAAAAGTAAGATATTATTGTACTAAGTTTTTTATCACATGTCTATTGTAAATACAAACATCAAATTTATATTTTGACATACTAATTATCAAATAGTGCCTTGCATTTTTATAATGATATTCGTGGTGAAGATAATCAAATTATGACTCAATCCACAAACGACTCTCAAAATTTTTCAAAGCTTGGTTTTCCACAAACAGTTGCACCTAATTACAAAGAATTATTTGCCAGTGCATTTCAAAATTTTTTTGATGCTTTAAATAAAGATTTTGTTGAGGGACTTAATTATTTAATGAAATTTGATGAATATAGTGTTTACTCATATCTCAAACAAGAACTCAAGTTACCTAAAGAATATGACATTGATGAAACTATTGCTGCAATGGAAATGACCGAATCTGCAACTGGATTGTTTAGACTTGCGCTTGTCGAGGCTGTGATGGATGCTTATACGTTTTCAACCGATTCTCTAGAATGGTATACAGTTGATTATGGAATGCAACGATATCCTGACGCATTCAGACTTGTTTACAAACACGAGGAGAGTACTGGGTTAGGGCACGTAAACATTAAGTATAATTGCAAAGTTTATAAATTGGATTATAAAAATGATAAAGTGCATGTACATTGGAAAGAAGCTGGGGTACAAAAAGAAGAGATTTTTGATAGAGTTATTGTTACTTGCCCGTTGGGTGTCGTTCGGCAATGGGATTTATCTGGTTAGTTTGTGTTAAAACATGCGATCTTTTTATTTTATTTTGAAAAATTTTTTTTTTAATAATTAATATGTATTTAACAACACCAATTAATAATAATCAATATTAATGCAGGGCTAGAGAAAAATGAAAATTTTTATCGTAAAAGACGTGCAATTCGTGAATTGAATTATGACAATTCTGCCAAAATCTTTTTGAAATTCAAATCTCGTTTTTGGGAAAAAGGATCGAATCCTATTATTGGAGGCAGCTCTACAACAGATCTTCCAATTCGGACTGTTGTTTACCCATCATGCTATTTTGATAATAATATCCCAGTAGATAATCCTGCAATTCTCCTTGGTTCATACACTTGGGCAAATGATGCAGAAAAATTTGGGCCGTACTCACCGCAGGAGAACGCGAATCTTTGTGCTGAAAACCTTAAAATTCTTCACGGACGTGATGTGGTAGAAGAAAATTTAGTAACCGAAGAATTTTCATCCATTTATTGGTCAAATGATACAACAAGTGTCGGAGCATTTGCACTTTTTGGACCAGCTCAGTTTAAAAAACTAATCTATCCAATGATAGAGCCTATGAATAATATACATTGGGCTGGTGAGCATACTGATGTTCATCATGCTTGGATCGTTGGATCTTTGAACTCGGCTGTCAGAGTTGTTAAAGAAATCATGATGCATTCATGCATGGAGAATGAATGGAATGAATTAAAATCGCAAGATCTGTTGAAAAATTGGCATGGACAAGTTGGATCCGCTTGATTTTTATTTAATTATATTTTATTTATTTATTTTTTTGGTTTAAAATATTTTTTTTGTATGCTATAAATAATTAAATATTTGTACTATCTGATTAAATCATTAAATTTGCCGAGGACAAGTTTTATTATTTCATTATTCATCCATTTGATTTTGAAGATGAATAAAAAACTGAAAACAAAATAATAATAATCATCTTAAAATTTTACAAATATATTATATAAACGAACTGACAGTTTTTTAAAAAAGTTCGTCATAGAGTGGGCTCATTATAAAAAAGGTTCATTATAAAGAGAGTTGGCTGTACGGTATATTGGTTCCTACAAGTCGCATTTAGGGAGGTCTGGCTGCATAACTATAGAAACATGACGTTATTAGAATAAAAATTATCAATAAAATTTTTGAGTGAATGTGACCAAATTTGAGTGAATATGACCGAAACATTTCGATAAAAAAGTTTGACGCAACTCTTCTTTTTGATAGACGGTTTGAATTTTTTAAATCTTTGAGTGAAGTAATCTCGACACTCACCAAGTCAA